ATTAGAAAAAGTTCACTTTTTTCAGCTTAGTTTAAGACAAAATTGTCACAAGGTCGACATTTTAATTTCTACTTTGTATAGATATTTTCATTGTTAAATGTATATGATTAATGACATATAATTCGTGAATTACTTATTAGAATATATCAAAATTATTGTTTTACCGAAAATCTAACCCTTCTTAATCGCCGTCTCCGAAATTCTGATGACAAGCGCCAACGTCGTCTTTACCATGCAAGCTTCCCTAGTCAGCTGATTTTAATGGCCGATTTAGCATCTCTTTTCGTCTCAAACAAATGTCTGGATATGAAAAAAATGAGTGTCCGCAACCTCTACAACATCCTGGCACATCACAGCGAGTTGGCATTCCTTACAAATAAATTAATTTGGAGGTATATTACCAGGAGAAACTTCTGTGTCTCGCCACGCTACCATTTTTTTACACTCAGTCAAGCGCTTGACAAATTCAAACGTTTGCGTAACCACCTCTAATACCGCAGCGCCACTCGACGGTTAATGACGTGAATGCATACTATTGGTTTTATATCCAGGAGCAGAGAAGAAGATATTTGACGAATCAATGTATTTTCACTATATAAAAGCCATTCTTTGTAACCACTTAAACTTTTGTGGCACGCTAGTCACAGATTTTTTTTTCAAGTTTGGCTTGGAAGAACCACCTCATAAATTTCATCAAAAAATATTGTTAGATCATGTTTTGTAATGACATGCGGCTACTTTAATTTGTTACAAACAGAAATAAAAAATCTAACATCTTCATATGCAAATACTTCTTTGGTATTCTGTCCATAAATATGAGAAATTTCCGATTAAAAGCCGGCTTCATTCAGAAAAATGAAATACCTTCCTTTGATTATTTTGAACTCTTTAGTGTGGAAGGTAAGAAAACAAAGGATGGGAAAATGGCAGAAAGTTGTATGCTAAAAAAATATATCCCATGATTTCATACAAAATCACCATGTAGTTTCAAGTTTATTGGTGTGAATTCAATCCCAAGGGAAAGGTAAGCTATATATATTTCAGATTTAGGATATATATTACGTGTCTTTGAAAACATTTGCCATTACATTGATAATGCTGTGATATGTAACATTTATTTAACAACCACTTAAAAGAACTGACAGATTGATTGATTAATTGTATGTTGTTTAACGTCCCTCTCGAGAATTTTTCACTCATATGGAGACGCCACCACTTGCCGGTGGAGGGCTACAAATTCTGTCCTATGCTCGGCACTCAGGGCCTTTGAGCAGTGAGGGATCTTTTTCGTGCCAGCACCTACTGCGACACTGGGCCTCGGTTTATACGGTCTCATCCGGAGGACCGGTCTCCACGTCCCACAGTGGGATTCGAACCCGCGACGTAAGGATTGACTCCTTACTTCGCGACTCTAGAGAAGACGCTCTAACCACTGCGCCACGCGGGCGACAAGAACTGACAGAAACCGTGATTATAACAAACTGCGTATTGTAAAATGCATGGTCCCCCAAAACTTGGCAACCAATACATTTCCCAAATAACACGAAAGAAGACTAACTGAAGAACATGATTAACAAATCCATGCATCAACAGGCATTACTTTCTCTATTGGAACAGGTAAGTGCAGTGTGCTATAGTATACTGTAATATCAAAGTCCTATAGGCTAGCTTTGACTTTTTTCATCATATGTAGAACATGCAAGTGTACTACTGTGCATTTCAGACTTACTTAGAATCTATTGCAATGCAATTTTGATCTGTATTAGACAGTGTCCTAGTATTTCAGTGTTGAAGACTACTAGGCGGCAGTATGTGAAGAATAAAAGATTCACTGAAATTTAAAATACAACTTTTGAAATAACAAGTGATATACCTATACCTTGTGTTCAAATCATATGCATCTTGTTTCTCTCTCTCTCTCTCTCGCCAATTTTTTGTCACTCTCCGTCATATGCATTTTTTGATGTCATTGTCTTGCATATATCAGTGTTAAGCACAAAATGTACCGTTTGTTTCAATTCCTTATCATGACTTCACTTGTACGTGCCTGCAATCATTTATGTCATTTTAGGTAGATACATGTATTTACTATGTACATATAGAACTATTTTGTTGTTTGGGAAAAAATATTTTGAATATCATGTTTTTCATTTTAATGTCAAAATTTTGATGCAAGTCCATATTGAAGAGGTGTCTAAGAGAATATGCTTATGATGGATATAATGTTAAAGTCACATATTTAGGAATTTGGAAGCATCGTCGGTAACGGGTGATTCACATCGATTCTCTCTATGCACGAGGAAGCTTGTGGACCCAAAACCCGTGGTTTGCGACGATGATTTCGAAGTAGCTATAAGTCAACATGGACAATCCAAATCATTTGAAACTAGTATTTTATACTTCATTCAATATATTTACTAGTCTTACTTGCAGAGAAAAAAAATCTATATTGTAAATTCCATATTAAAGTATTCTTAACAAGTTATATTATAGTTTTATTTTCAATCAAACTAGAACAGTATTAGTGTTTTAAAGACTTCCGAGTAAAGTTAAGATTTGACCTAAAAAGTTATAAAAAGTATCATTACTCTCTTGGTAAACATTTAAAAACTTCTGTTTTTGTATCATTTTATATCTTTAAGTGACAACTTTAGTATATGTGAGAATATGAAAAATTTAAATAACATGTATAGGAAGCATATAAACATAACTAAACTATTCTTAAAAATTTAAGAAAAGCTGAGGAAATTCGGATTACCCGATATTCATTTTTGTCAAATAAAATATCTGAATTTGGTAATATTATCCTATAGGTCCTATATGGAAGTTTCTTTTTATGCTTAAAAAAAACATTCAATGTTTGTAAATAAAAGTAGGGATCACATGATTGGCAACAGAATTTTTTTGGTTCTTAATGTCCGGGAAAAATTGTTTTGACCTTGAACTGACTTTGCCTTTGATATAGAACGGTTTTATTTTATCTTACTGATACCATCATTTAGTGATATTGTCTTCTTGATTCTGTAAAAAATTCATTCATTTTTAAATACAGGAGATGTGAGAGGAGTCCTTCCAAACGTAACAGTATTAAAACACCTTATTTCCTAGTTTTCGTTCTACTTCGTGCCATTTTTGTTCTTGACCTTTGACCTTTTCACCTAAAATCTTTTTTTAATCATTTGCTTCAGATATTGTTTACAAAATATAAAATGTGGGTCTCAATTCAATGTAAAATTCTTATGTTTTATTAGAGAAAATCTGATAGGTAATGCCTCTGGTCATTTTTTTTTTTAATAATATATGAAAATTCATTACTTTGTAACCATTGTAACATGAAAAGATATTAAAACCAAACAAGTCAATGAAGTTAATTGAAAAACAGACTATGTACTTTAACACCATGATATTCATTTTTTTTTCCTGCAAGTCTGCAAATTTTTTTTACCAAACTTTTTTTTTTCCACAAGGGCATTTAAACTGTTTAATTCTCCTTTAAAAACAACCCCAAAGGCTGGTTATTTTTTTTACTATAATAATTAAAAATTATTCAAACACTGCAATTAATTATAAGTATTAGAAATACGATATATTTTAAGATAAAAATTGAGTCAATATAATTTCTAGATTATATTACAGGATTTCTCTCTCAAGATTGCAATTTTTCAGGAAAAATAGCTGTTTTAAGGCCCTAAAAATGTACACTAGTTGCCGTGGTAACCATTGCCCATAGCAACCATTATATTATGAATATTTAGTTCATGCATGAATATAACAATGTGTGTCAAGTTTCATAAAAAGCCCCGTGGGGATCCGGGTTAGAATAGGTCCTCAGTACCCCCTTGCTTCTCGTAAAAGGCGAATAAATGGGGCGATCCTTCGGATGAGACCGTTTAAACCAAAGCAACATATGCACACGACTGGAAGGAAGAGAAATTCGGGGAATTCTTACAGGTGATGATGGATACCTACTCAGACCTTATTTGATTACTTCACTATTCACGTGTACAAACAGGGAGGAGAGGCGTTTTAATATCCCATCCACACTTACGTCATATTGACAATATGGCGTCGGTTTCAAAGAAATAAACATTCCGAGTGTTGAGTTGTTTACAAATGGCGTCCCTTAAGTGTCACCGTCAAATTTAGTTTGATATCTTCTTGTTACTGTTTTTATATTAGTGTTTTTAATATTTTTTATACATATTATCTACATAATGGATACTGGTGATCAAACTTTGACTTTGGATGCATTTTTACCCGGAAAACAGATGCTTTACGTGAATATCATGGAAAACGCGGACTTGTTAAAGACAAGGCCAATCCAGAACTTGAAACGTTCGCTTATTCGGCACATATTTGAAAATTCCAGAAGTACTATAGGCCGCAGAAAACATGAAGGTGAGACAGACAGATAATTGTGGAATATTAACGGGACCTTCATACCAGACCCTTTTTCACTTCAAGACCAGTGGGTAGATGAGCGATATGGAATGAAATACTGGCCACCTATTTACTTTTTACATTTTCGATCTGTACATTGTAAAACTAAGTATAACAGAAATGAAAATGCAATCAGGCCTCCGTTATGTAATATCATGGGCTACACTTCAGTTAATCCTAATCGTAAGCCTTTGAAACATGGTCTAGGATGGAACCTATATACAAAGATGCTTGTTTTTAATATTAAAGAAAATCACAAAAGTGTTCCTGTGTCAGAATGTGGCATTTTTATTGACCCAGTGCGACCTCCTTTAGCCGCTTCTCCAGGTTTGCCCTTTACTTGTTCATGTTGTGGTGATGAAGTAGCACAATTTAAGTGTCCTATGATATCAAAATGTTCTGATTATACCGATTTTTGTGCTTGCAACTTACCTAACGAAAAATGGCTGAAATATTGCCGACTCGGCGTTAAACAATATAAAATCAATCAATCATAAACAGACAATAGAGAACGTATAAACTCTTTCAGGATAGAGAGCAACTTCGAATTATAAGAGTGTATTCGAAACCTTTGTTCTTGATCCGAGAACGCGTTCGTAATTAAATTCTCAGTTCTCGAACGCCAAGAACACAACTCAGGAACGGGTTCGCGATTCAAGAATATACACCACCACGCTAGGTAGTGTGAAACAAGAACAAGATGGCGGGAAAAGGTAGTCGGTGAGTGAAAAAAGAATTGTTGAGGGTAATATTTGGAATTTTAAGCCAAAAATGTTATTTTTATTGAAAGCAGATTTTAATTAAAAATAAAATAATTGACATCCTTTATATTTCATTCTAAAAGTAATTGGTGCGGACACAAAACAACTGCTTATCAAAGTCTCGCCACACACAAGGGGGTATGTACAGGCCCACAGTTACATGTGACCGAATGCGATTCCTTGTTCGCTCTTGAGTGGTTTCACACTTGTTGTGTGACTAGTGTGACTAATGACGAGCAGCTTAATTAATAAAAAGATTAAGATGAAAAGTCGCCCCTGTGTGTGTGTGAGGGTGGGTGATTATTATTATTTTTTTTACAATGGCTACATGTAGAGCCCTGTATTCATCAATAGCACAGTACCATGATAAAGATATATACTAGTAGCTCGATATCAAGTTATTTGTAATACCTTGATAAAGCTATGTAGCTTTATCAAGCTATACTTTATCAGGGTATTGTTGTGGACCTGTAAAACCAAAAAAAATATAGGGATGAAATATCAAATTTATTTATGTAGGCCCTACTTTTTATTTAGATAAATGAATGGATATATTGCATTCAATTTCATGATGGATTAATTTTGAATTTGTAAAGAATTTCACTCAATATCAGATATAAAATGTAATTTAAATCTAATTACCACTGTGTGTAAAATAAATCACTTAATTGAAGAACATGTATATAAAATGCATGGTTACTGTCTTGAAATATAAGCGATATTTGGGCGAGGGTAAGAAAATGTGATAGAGGGCGAGGCTTGCCGAGCCCTCTTACATTTTCGACCCGAGCCCAAATATAGCTTATATTCCAAGACAGTTATCATGTATTTTGTTTATCCTGCAACAAAATTTTACATTTGTGCATCAAAACAAGCTAATTCCGACAGATTTAGGCACATCTCTGCAGTTAAAACTATGACGCCATGGCGTAAACATTGCAGTAAACGTGACGTCACAGTGCTTTTTGAACGTCGGAATACATGCATGAGGCTTTATTAGGGCTGTGACCGGATAAAGCTTTGGTTTATTAGGTTACCTTTATTAGGTCAATGCAAGGGGTAGTTGCAGGATAAATATACATAACCTGTAGTTAAACGGGGCGAAACCACTCGGCACAATACCACTCGGTGCGAACAAGTAATCGGGATGAACCCACCGGTTAACATGTGACCCAAAGAAAGAAAATGCATCTTTTGCTTAAAATTGTTCAAAATCAGCAATGTTTCAAGACACACACACATGTACACTGAGGCATTGTCACATATAACTTTTGTCATACCGGGGTATATATTATAGTGTATTCCCTTATTTTGATTAATAAGACTATGAATTATCTTTTTAAAATTTCAGTACAAAAAAAGCTATGGATCAGGAGGAGGAGATTTTTACCATAAGTTTATTAGACACAACAGACCAATTGGAGTATGAATGTGATGTAACAAAGGAAGTTTTCCTGCTTCTTCAGACAGGTATCTGCAATATCGAAAGAGGAATTAAAAATGCATTTTTGTTACACTGTTTTGTAACTTAGAATACTTAAAGGGGAATATTCAATACACACACACAAAAACACTCTTGGATTCTCTATTTTATAGATGCACAAGCAAGAGAGGAATTCCTCCAGAGTATGAAAGCAGATGGGCTAAAACCAGGTAGTTTTACAGTATTTTCATTTGTTGATCCAATCTCAGATATGTATTTTTTGTTTATTTTTAAAAGAAATATTATTTAATTAGTTACATATAATTGCTAAACATTTTTTAAAAAGTGCTTTTGATGTTAATTTTTCAGTCGACAAGTCCAAACAAGCTCTGGATGAAAAACATGCTGAAGGTATTAAAAGTAATCAAGATGTTGTAATACCCATGAAGCTCGACACAGACTACCTATTATTGTCCCCCGCTTGAAAAGTGGGGGATATTAATTTGGGTTTTGTCCGTCCGTCCGTCTGTCCGTCCGTCCGTCTTTCTGTCTGTCTGTAACGCTTTCGTTTCCACACGATATCTCGAGAACCCTTTGAGCTTTCGCAATGAAATTTTGCATAGCAACTCCCTATGAACTAAAGAAGACCTCTATTGATTTTGAGGTCAAAAGGTCAAAGGTCAAGGTCATAAATTCGCAAATTCTCTTATAACACTTTCGTTTCCACGCGATATCTCGAGAACCCTTTGAGCTTTTGCCATGAAATTTTATATAACAACTTCCTATGGCCTAAGGAAGACCCCTAATGATTTTGAGGTCAAAAGGTCAAAGTTCAAGGTCGTAAATATATACATTCTGTCTGTGTGTAACACTTTCTTTTCCGGGCGATATTTCAAGAAGATTTTGAGCTTTTGCAATTGAATTTTATACCAAAAGTCCCTAAGACCTCTCTCACCCCTCTCAAAGTGTCCCGCCCCGTTTGTTTTAGAAAAATTTATTGTATTACATGTCGCTATTTTTAACACAGGGACATGAGGAGAGTTATTACGTATAAAACAGGTTCTCGGCGGACTCTATATTCTTATTTCATCTATTAGAACTGTTTAATAAAGGTTAAATTAGACACAATGCATTGTGTAAAATTTTGAAAATATATACATGTATGTGACTTCATCTTTGTATATACTAGTAGTTTAAATAAACAAAAGGGAATAGAGAGGCTTCGTGACGTAGTGGTATGTCTCTCGCATTTCGTGCGGGAGATCCGGGTTCGAGTCCAGGACGACGTACTTTCTTTTTTTTTCTGAATTTTTTTTTAACTAAATGATAGTATTCAGCATGTGAAATGAAAAATTTGAAAGGTGTGGCTTCTACAAACTCATAAAATCATCATCACAGAGTGATAAATATTCCATATAAAAAGAATCTTCTATACTCATAATAAAGAATAGCAATGAAATCTTTATATTCATATTGATATATTTTATTTCCTTCAGTATGTGTACATGTATACATTTAATAATTTTTCAACTTAAGTCAGGGGGATCCGACAACCCCCCTCCCCGAACTGCGCATGGTTTACTTTTTCCCTAAGCGGGGGACACAAATTCTCTGAATTAGCTTGTTTTGCTATGCATTCCTTTATAATATAATGAATTAATTGCTAAACATTTTTTAAAAAGTGCTTTTGATGTTAATTTTTCAGTCGACAAGTCCAAACAAGCTCTGGATGAAAAACATGTTGAAGGTATTAAAAGTGGTCAAGATGTTGTAATACCTATGAAGCTCGACACAGACTACCTATTATTTTGCTATGCATTCCTTTATAATATAATGACATGAATAACTTAAAAAAACACACACCAGCCAAACTTACCTGAAACTTGGCACAGAGTAAGACCATTTCAAGTCCAAATATTTTTCATACTCTCAGGATAATTAGTCTGCAAGTCCTTGAATGGCATCATAAATACAATGTAACACTTACCATCCTTTTTTCACTTTCTCTTCATGGAAAGGGTAAATATGGGCCTCTTTACACCCTTCCTGCTACACGCTTAAATGGGAAATTTCCCATTGTTATCAATTTTATAATTTTTTTTACAAACCCTCTCCTTTCCATTTATGCCCAAAAATAAACCAATTCCACTCCATAAACACCCCAAAGAATTTTTAAGAAAAGAAACCTTTTTTAATTGGAACTACTTGTGTGATCAATGAAATAGGGGTAAAATTGATAGTCTGTATTCAGCTGCATATATAGCCTATTTTTGAACTTATTAGTCGTAAATAAATACATGTAAGAAGTTTTTCCTTGTACTTATTCAAGATTCGTGAGCATATTCAAATTTATTTCATTTAGAGAACGAGCAATTACCAAAAACCTGGGCAAGAAAAGAAACGGATATGCTGGTCGCTCTCCGTATGGAGAAAGATGAGGAGTTCAGGAAAAGCAAAGTCCATCAGAGAATATGGAACAATATTGCAGCAGAAATGACCCAGAAAGGCTATAAAGTGAATGGTCAAAAAGCGGCAAATAAATGGAAGTCTTTAAAAAGATCATATATGGAGGTGATTGACCACAATTCCAAAAGTGGGAATGATGCAAAGACTGTGCCATATATGACCGATTTCAATATGTTATATGGAAACAAACCATCAACCAAGCCAGCTTACACTCTGCATTCATCTGGATCCGGATCAGCAACCAGTTCTTCTGAAACAAAACTTAAACCAGAAGTCTCTGTCGAGACTGTAGCTCTACTGGTTTGATTGAACAGGCAGAAACGAGGTGGGGGGTATTTAAAAGTCTGGCATTTTGAGATTCAATTTAAATTCTCATGTAGTTCTCTATGCAAATCAGTTGATCATATACCAATACAAATACCCCAAAGTAGTCATTAATGATTGAGTTATTTTTAATGCTCTGTAAACGTAGTTTCTGGATGCAAAGTTTTTATCAACTCTGTCTGTTTGTTTGACCACAAAAACTTTAACCTTGCCCATAATATTGATTTAGGGAGTTATAACTTTTATATTTCACATGTGTATTCCTTGTGACAAGATCTTTCTTAGGGTATGACCAAATTTGAATTTTTGACCTTGACATTGGAGATGGACCCATTTTTACACATTTTGAACAGTAGATACCAGGACTTTTATACTTCATATATGTACATGTATTCTATGTGGAATACC